CACACACACACACACACATAGCTATTTCCACCCCCACCTATTGTTCAAACAGCTCCCCTCCAGCTATGGGACAGTGAAGACGGGGAGAGATCAGGCTTTAGAGCTGCCGTACAGAATCTAGTCACTCTCATATTTACTGTGTATGTATAGAAAATACACACATTGAACTACATGGCTGTATTTATTAAGATCATGTGAAATGATCCTGATAATGAAACACTTAGTTTAACGTGGAACATGGCTTAGTAGTATGTATCTATCTGCTTTATTGAACACATAGACCTCACTTCCCTTTGTTTTCTGCTGTTCTTATTCTGTCCATTTATAATTAGATATTTAAGAGATCAGGAATAGGTTGGTTTTGGCCTCTTTTTTTCCTTTTGTTTGTTGAAGTAGTCAATAGTTTGTAGCTTGATTGCAACCAACAATTATTTCCATTATTGATAAATCTTTTTTGATTAACAGTTTGGTATCAAACGGTCAAAAAAATGTGAAAAATGTCTGACTTCTTCTTGAAATCTTCTTGAAAAAAAATCTTGAAATTGCTTTTCTGTCTAACAAAACCCCCACATATTTACTTTATTATCACATAAGACAAAGAAAACCTGCTAATTCTTTAATTTTTTTGAGTAAAATAGATTGATGAAGAAAAATATAATGACTCCCAAGGAAAGTCTTAAAAGCTTTCTGCCCCCAGTGTAAATCTTGATATAGAGAGATAAAGAACAGAGGATTGAACACTTCAGAATGTAATGGGAAGCTATAACTCTGCCCTACAGTAAATCCCGGATACTAAAAATTGTGATAATGGAAAAACTATTGATGCTCAGCTGTACGATACATATCTAAAGAATGAAGCTACATAATGTCTGTCACATCCGTAAATGATGCTCAGTGGACCATATTCCATTGTTATTAACCTGTTTTAACTGTATCGAAGCAAAAGTCACACATTATGTTTTCCTTCTTTCAGATTTTTTCAGTTTAAGTCCTCCAAAATAAAAGTCCCCATAGAAGCCCTAACAAAGAGCGGAACCGCCTCCTCCTGCTGCCCTGCTGCTTCCAACAGCGATCAATAAAGAGCCATTGGGCTGTCTGCCATTGACAGACGTCTGTCTCGTCCTGCTGCCAGTGAAAGCTCACCGCTAATGGTGCTTTTTGGAATCACTGCAGCTCTATAGGCAATCTATCGATGCTTTATTGTGTTGCTCACATTCCTTTTATCCCATGATGATAGAATAGAATTTAAGTGATACAGATATTTGTGTAGAGAAGAGGATGGGGTCAGTACTGAGCACGCCCTGTAAAATACTGTCATTGGGAAAGGAGGAGGTTTGGGAAGTAAAGGCGATGCTTGGAGGGTGGAGGATTTTTGGGGGGAAGAGACAAGAAAGAAAATAAGGACAGAGAAACCAGCAGTCCACAACACAAGATATTAAATTTACAGTGATATGAATTGGAGAAAAGCAGCAACAACTGACATTGTTGCTCATTTTTACTTAAAGTTAAATCTGTAAGAGTTACTGATTAATTTCCTGTCAATTGACTTTCAATTAGGAAGTGCGTTTAATTTACCAAAGAACAAAGATTTTCCCCAATCATGATTTAACACCTCTACTAAAACTGGAATCAATTTATTATTATTGATACAAATTATGTCACAATTATAACCTCAAATCCTAGTATTTCTGAGAAAAATGTTTCTAAATTAAAGGTATATATTTAAATAATTCTGTTGGCATAGGTAGTGCTGCAACTATGGATTATTTTCATTATCAATTAATATCCAGATTGTTTTCAACATCAATGCTCATAAGAATTTTCCAGAGCCCAAAACAACATCTACAAATAGTTTTTTTTTGTCCAACCAACACTCCCAAACCCAAAGACATTCAAGAAGCTGGGATCAGCAAATGTTTGAAATTTCTGCAGTGAAAAAGCTGTGAAATAGTCCATCTGCGCTGTGCTCAATTGGATTCTTTATGTACATTAGAACTGACTGGTATTCATTGCATCCCTTTATAGGTGGGTGAGAATGGCCTACATACTGTACAGTAACTCTGGAAACAGAAAGCGGGAAGCAGCCAATAGCAGCTATTTTTGGAAATGCTCACCCAGTTTGGTCAGGAGTGGACGAGTGTTTGGCCTCGCCAAGATTCTGTCACAGCAGTGTGGGTTCCCCGCTCGAGGCTGGTGGTTTTGGAAAATGGTGTGGATCCTGTCATATGGCACAAGGATACATCAAACATAAAACCAAAGTATGAACTTGATTGATTCCAATGGGGTTATGATCTCCATTTGGTCTCGGAGACTACTAATTTAGAACATAAAGCTTGCATTACAGGCTGAGGGCAAGAGATTTGTAACAAAAGATGATATCTAGTGGCATCAGGGGAATTGTAGGATTCTGCTTGACCCATACTTGGAACTAAAAGTCAGGGTATCTCAGCCTTTTCTGTTTTGATTTGGCCCTTTCTTTTTTACTTATTTGTCTCTTGTGAACACTCCAACTTTATGGAAGTAAAATACTAACTCACATTACAGTATCCCTTTTAAATTCATACATACACAAGTTTGCTCACGAGGACTGAAAGGATTTGATGAAAGTTCTCCTTCTTAGTCGTGTTATTTTTTTATGGCATATTGCCATTATTGGACAGTTGACAGATGTGGTGAATGACGTGAAAGATAAGTTTACAGCTGGGTTTAATATGGGGAAGTTGCAGTTACTTGATCACCTGGATGCACCAAAGTTCTCTTCTTAACAGGATCTTACATTGACCTTTTTAAAAAACCTTTTAAAAGGTCAATGTAATGTATTGTGGTTTCGTGCTATTTTTTTTTCAATAGCACGAAACCACAATAGCTGTGACTACGTACGTTCATGCATCCATGCGTTCCTAGTTTCCACAAGCAAATACGGTACTATTCCTTGGCATATAAATACCAGAGCACCTCTGATGGATCAGTCTAATGTTTGGTCATTTTGTGTGTTTTCAGATCTGTCTAAGAACCGTCTATGTGAGCTGCCGGAGGAGCTCTGTCAGTTCATCTCTCTGGAGACACTGAGCCTTTACCACAATGGGATGCGTTCACTGTCCTCCAGCCTGGGCAACCTCCAGGCCCTCACCTACCTCAACCTCAGGTAACCACAACATACACATGCTGCCATCTGAGCCAGTTAGCTAGTTCTCATTAAACTGCAACTCAAACATTTAATTAATACAATTATTACTTTAACAAAAGCCATTGGTGGTCCAAGTAAAATCCAACAAAAGGTATCTGCAGGCCCTGACTGGACTGTTTGACTGCAATGACATCTTGACTCCTCAGAATAAAACACAACATGCAATTGTTAAATTCAGTGTGAGCTAAATGATTCTGTGGAAGGAAAATTGATCCGGGTCCATCCTCCTTGTTCTATTATAGCTTGTGTTTCATTCTAACTAGTTTAACAGGTCTTAAAAAGTTCAAAGATAGACACATCCCTTTTTGAAAGGTCTGAATACACTAAAACTTCAAAGAACTCTGACAGTTCCATCTCCTTAGTCTCCTCACTTCTGCTATCAAAGATTTGTTAAAACTTGTTTTCAACGTTTTGGCCATTTCTGTCAGTTATGGTCACATTGTACACACAAGGACTTAAGTAATTGCTGAGATCTTGGACTGCAGACCATTTTCATATTGTGTTAATATTCAACACTGTAAGATAATAGTATGACACGTGGTCTCCCATTACCAAACACAGTCTGTCTGTGGAAAAAGAGCGTACAAGACAAAAAGAAATCTACACAGAAACAGAATGTTGACTCCAGCAGTTTTCTTTCACAGATTGCATGTTCTGCTGAATGTTGACAGGTTATCTGGAGTGATGGGGAAACATGCAACACATAGGGTGCCAAGTTAAGGGTAATTAAGACCAAAACAACCAATAATAGGCTATAAAGTTATGGAATATATTGTTCAGCACTTTTTAGCTGAATAATATTGTTTCCTCGTGGCTCTGTTGCCAAGTTTCATAGCCCAGTCCAGTCTGCAGCCTGGTGGTTGGCAACAACAAATGTATCACTTTATTTGGAAAATCTAAAAAATTAGTGCATCTAAAGTATAAACACTGTGTGGGGCTGCACAGTGGGGTAAAAAAATATCATGCAATTATTTTGATAGATACTAGGATTACGATATGATTCTCATTTAGCAGGAATGCTCATTTTTACATCACAATTTTCATTTTCACTGAACAAAACAAAACAATGATGTGACATTTGTAGGGGCCTGTACCGAACAAACATCTGGAAAACAAGATTTGTAGACAGGGGCCTTTCTGCATAACTACAGTATTTCATTATAATGTTTGTCACACATTTGACCTTTTTAATCCAAAAAATTGCAGCTTCTGAGATTTTTTCTCAGCTTTTGTGACTTGGCCATATTGTGATTTCAATCATTTTTTGATTAATTGTTCAGCCCGAGGGTGCACACAACAGTGGTATGCATGAAAGTTGTGGGTTCAAAGCTTCCTGGTATAAAGTTGAACCAATCAATTGCAATTATCCTTTAAAAGTTGCACTTCAGCACACTGCAGCAGTGGACTCGTTGCATTTCACAGTTAGCAGTTTGCAGGTGCACAGCGCCTCTAAAGCACAGCTGCTGTCTGAAAACTTCATTTGAACTTCAGTGTTTGTTTATGCTGGAGATGAAGAGAGGCCGTCCAAATCCTGTCCAAACCTTCGTACAACAACAGAACCACCCTGACACTCCTCTCTCCTCGACACTGTCATTTTTACTGTTGCTAGGAGACCAGAACAAGCCTCCAGGTGGCTGGTAATACAGGCAGCAGAAGTGTAAGCTCAAAGCAAATATACTCTATAACAACAAATATCAAAGACTAAGTGTAGCTGAACATTGTGACAGGCTAGCTAGTTAGCTACTAACTATAAGAAAATATCTAAAACATTTCACTTTTATGAAGGTTTTAAACAGGAGTGTATCTTTTGAAATCCAAATCACCCTTGCACCAGGCCCAGATGGATGTCAAGGAAGTCTATTTATCATTATACAAGATTGTACAATGAAATGAAAGTTTACAGTCCCTTCATGCTACACACATATAAAAGGTAATTCAATTTACAGTAGAATAACATATGAAATGAGCAAATTAAATATTAATAAAATAAATGCCACTTCAATGACTTTACTGTGTGTGTGTGTGTGTGTGTGTGTGCTTGTCTCCACAGTCGTAATCTTCTGTCCAGTTTACCCCCATCGGTGTTTCAGCTCCCCCTCCTGCGAGTGCTCATCGTCAGCAACAACAAGCTGGGTTCACTGCCTGCCTCCATATACTCCCTCACACACCTCCGTCAGCTGGTATGATATACACACTTAGATTCACACACACACGGCTATCTCCCACCAATAGCATCGTTCTCTCAGCAACAGAGTTTAAACACAAGCCAGCCGATTTCTGTGGTGATAGGAGGGTAAAGATCTTTTTAAGTCCCTTTGGGTTGTAGTCAGAAGTTCATACTTACGGTTTTAAAAATTAAAAGCAAGAGGGTCTCAAGATCCATTTGTGATGTAATAAAACATGTGAGTGGTCTTATCAGTTGTCTACAGTTTTAAATTCTGTCTCTCTCTCAGGATGTAAGCTGTAATGAGCTGCAGTGTTTGCCAGCAGAGCTCGGCCAGCTAGAGTGTCTGAGGGACCTAAACCTGAGGAGAAACCAGCTCACCACTTTGCCTGAAGGTATCGACACACTTGACCCCATCCATTGACCTCAAACCTCCTCTCCTCTGCTCATATTCCTCCCATCCAGCACATTTTTCAGTGCTCTTTGATGAACCCGAGTAACCCCACAATCCTCAGCAATGTCTTTGTCCAGTGATTCTTCAATTGATATTGAGTGCATCTATAACTATACAAAAAGATAAAGATATCTTACTAATACTGAGCTTTGTTAAGCCTGCAAAATATAACTGTAACACCCGAAGCAATCCTAGCTCTTCTTTACCATGGAATTTTAATGTAGAATTTTCAACAAAGTTTCACACCAGTAATTGTCATTACTGTGGAGCTATCGATTTTAAACAATGTCAAGTGTGAAAGTTCTTGTATAAGCCTTTTTCAGCTTAATGATCTTCACCACTTTTTTACCGTTAATGAAGTTAAAGTAGTGTTACGATATTGTTTGGATTGTTTAAATAATTTTCATTTTTATACTAATAAATTGTGTCAAACCTGTAAACCGAAAAAAGGGTTTCAAGTTTAAAGTTTTCAGCTTAAATGTTGTAGGAATGAAGAGAGTTTATAAGTTTTTCAGTTTCAAGAAACGACAAATAAAAATATTACATAAAAAGTGTCCCAACAATGAATTTAAAATTAAAAACAAGCCAGCAATGGAACTGAACATGTATTACTAAAACAAGTTTGAGGCAATGACACTTGTATATAATCCCTCTCTTTGGCATTCATTAGGGAAAAATTATTCGACTACCCCCTTGTCCGGGCTCGACGTGTCCGGCAACCGTATTTCCCTGCCTGTTGCTTACGCCCACCTCCGCCATCTCAGGAAGCTCTTCCACTGGACAAACCCGGCGCAAAAATGCCCCACCTGCGCAGATCTGGCTCCAGGCAATACACATCTTTTTCAAGTACCCTCAAACCATGGAGGCCTTGCAAAGAGGAGCCAGAGGAGGCTGAGAGACAACCTGAGACCACTGGATTTAAGCTGGTTGAGGAGGAACTGGAGTGGGAGCAAGGAAACTAAAAGGAGGGAAAGATTCAGGTAAGCAGAAAAAGATGAAAGAACCAAGCAAAACATTTCCACCGGTCATTTGCTGGAAATCTGAGCAATTTAAGTATTATTCAGGATTATTTATGAATGAACCAAGATAGTAGAATTAATTATTTTTTAAGATTAAGGAAACCTGTACTGTATAGCGCCTTTCTTTAGTTCTTTCCCGGGACCACTCCAAAAGCGCTTTTTAACACTCGTTGCCACATTCAACCTTCCACACAACATTTTCACTTCAGTGATGGCAAAGTCCATCGAACAGAACTAACTCATTAATCAACTCACATTCACACACGGTTGCTATGGCATTCGGGAGCTTTGGGGTTGAGTAATCTTGCTCAAGGATATTGACACATGCAGGAGGAAGCCGGATCGAAAAACCAAACAACCTTTTCTGATTGGGGGCGACCCGCTCTTGCCTTCTAAGAGCCGCCCAGATGTGTTTGTAGATGTATTTTTAGGGCTGTACCAAAAAGTCTGAATCATTTATAACGTTCAAATTCTAAATTAGCATTCGAATGTCGTGCAAAGAAAGCAAATAATCTCTCCCAAAATGTTGGACTATTTCTTTAACAAACCATTAGGAAAGGGTGTTTCATGGAGCCACACTTTGTAGTCTTCTAGTCATGAATAAGTATTGTTTACTGATAGTGGCAGCTACTGCACCTATTCATTATAGGATAATGGACTTATGGAAATAAATATATTTTTGCAACCACAATAGGCTCATGGGGCTCTTATGCCAAAAAATGAACGATGTGAACATGAGGTAAGATGGCAGGAGGTACAGTGAATATAGAAAAGGGAAATGGATAACAATGAAAGGGTATGATAACTAAGAGGAAGCAGGGTTTATCAAATATTTATAAACTCGTAATGGAACCCGTTTAGCTGCCTAGTGAGCCATTTCCATGAAATAGACAGCACCAAGGACAGAGATAAGAGAACATTTGACAGAAGAGCTCTGAGTCTGATCTGGAGGAAAAAACATGAGTCACTGCCCTTTAGACTAATAAACCACAATCAGTCTGCCAACAAGACTGCTGCTGTGTATTTACTTCTGTATGTGTGTTTAACTTAATGTGTGCTCTACATGTTTCCCTGCAGCCTGTCAGAGCAAGAGCTGTTTACAGGCCAGTTCGGGGGGCTGGACTCTGGCTTCAACAGTGTGGACAGCGGCAGCAAACGGTGGTCTGGGAATGAGGTATTACTGAACACACACGGTCATTTATACACTGCCCTAACATGTCCTGAGCAACTACATTATATTAATCAAACAGAACTGTGTACAATGATGCTGCATCGAAATATCAGATTTGAGGAAAAAATCTCCATGACCCATCCTCAACTGAAAATCGGTAGAGAAATGTATGTATGATGAAATGTATAGGTGATTGGGAAGCTGAGTAATGTTATAAACCAGGTTAATGTCATTGAACTTGTACACACTGATGTCAATAAACCTAAAACAATATATATTGCTTTATTTTAGGTGAAAACAACAATACAAATACAGCCTATCTATCTGCATTGTTGGCAATCAACTACTGATCAATAACTCAATGACTGCCTGTCTTGTCTGTGTCCAGTCAGCAGATGACTTCTCAGAGCGTTCCCTACGCATGGCTGAGGTCAGCAGAGACCAGAGGAACCTGGAGGAGGAGGATGAGGAGGATGGATCTCCTATGGAAGCTAGCAAGGGTGAGGAAGAACACAGGATAATCAGTGTTTTCCAGCCAGAAACGTTCCTGAAAAAGTAGAATTGTTTGCACATTTAGAGAAAATGTCCTCTCCCCTGCTCTCTGCAGTAAACGGAGCGGCCGAGCATACCGACTTCATTGACAGCATTGTGACGGAGGAAGAGGAGGAGATCAGGATAGATCCACCCACGCCAACTCTCACAGCCCCTCTGGTACTCATTCACACACTGATCAGCAGTTGTGTCAGATCCTCTTGTTGCTCAACATCTTGCCTTGTATGTTATCTTAGAACAGGGAAGTAATTGATTACGTCATTGATTTCTAGGAGAATTCTTCACCACCACAGGACTCAACCGTATGCAGGTAAGACTTTGCATGGCACTGCTTAGTTTCTAGCAGAATAAACTAAAGTAAGTTTACAACACAAAACAGGAATATTGGTTTGTGGTACAGGACTGAAATATTGGTATAAAGCTCAACAGGAATATTGGTTTTATTTAATTCAATTACATTTTATTTGTATAGCGCCAATTCATAGCAAAAGTTATCTCAGGACACTTTTCAAATAGAACAGGTCTAGACCAAACTCCTTTCTTATAAGCATTATTTTTTGAAGAGAGAGAGAGAAGATTTGTACAGGGAAAGGCAGTGCAGAAGAAAAAAGCAATAAAAC